GATAATCCCAAACGTAGAGATTGATTTGGTATTCTGAAGATTGCTTTGTCTCTTCAGTTTTTCTTAATTTTAACATGCTTTAACTTTTGGCTTTAGTTAATCAAAATAAATACACAATTAGTGTGAGCATTCATGTTACTTTTTTGAGGTATTCAATTATCTTAATTTTGAATGCCTTCATTATCAAAAATTTGTAGATTTCCTGGATGGGAAACCATAATGTAAGCTGTAATTCCCCTTTGACTGCTGCCCCAGAAATTTATCACTATCACCTCAGTCTACAATAAGTCTCCACAAGTTCAATAAAGTGTTTAGGTGTTGTTACCATTTCATGGATCCAGCTGCAAATGGCATATTTTAGCCATATTCTTTAGGTTCATCAATTGTCCTGAAACCTGGCCAATTTTGTATGGGTTTAAAAGAAACAGATCATTCTTCACACTGTATTTTTATTATGGTATTGACAAGAGTAAGTAAGGACATTACATAAGACTTGGAAAAAATGTTTTATATTACTTTTACCTGAGAAACAGATCATTTCATATTTCTATGATCAGTTTTTCCTAATTCTACAATGTCTTTCTGGCTATCTCTCAGACTTTCAGAAACTATCCAGATTCACTTCAAATGAATTTTCAATAAGATTTTCCCAAAAGCTGTCAGTATAGTTATCCAATTTACTAATAGTATTTCAATGGGAGCCATTCTAGACACAGTTTGATGAAATTAACTGAAGAGAAGAACTACCAGTGCAGATTTTGATGAAGACTAATGTCTTCATTTTCAAAGGTTGATAAGGTAATAAACAAATTAATGGTGTCATCCATTAAATCTAGTGCTAAGGATTGATGCTCCTGCCCTACTTAGGTAAAAGCTTTGTTTTTATTTCTTGATATAAACAAAATTATTTATAAATTAAACTATAATAGTAATTTTTCTCAATTGATATCAGGTACAAAATTTACCTCCAGCCCTAGTCTAATGACCCACTTCATATTGGACTCTTCTTACATCAATGTGTAGGGGATGGGAAAGGATTATTGTCAAAGATTCTCCTTATGGTTGAAAACTTATTTAGAATCTGAAAACATATTCAAGAATATATGGAATATTATAGGCACATACATCAATAACCAGATATAAAGCAGTTACATGAGTATTTCTTATCTTTTGGCTTCTTTGTATTTTGTAAATTACATTTCATTAACAAGAAACACTCTTTTGATGATCATAGTACAAGATAATACTAAATATTTTCATGACCTGATAGGTCTTACATAGAATTTTGTACTTTTAAGCCAGTTTTTTTGTCAGTTGAGAAATCTGAGAGCCAAAGAAAATCAATCATTTAGAAGCCGTCTCTTTCCCAACTCTGCCTACCAGAAATGTAACAATCATTAGAGACGGTATTCATATTTCTGTATAGCATATTTCATTTTCCTCAACAATTGTAAAGTTTTACTAGTATATTTAAAATAATAAGGAAGAAAATGAGCAAGAGGGCTCATGGGAAAATGGTACCATTTAACAAAACTGTCTGTGACTGGTGCTGTTTAATCTGCACAGCATCTTCATGCCATTGAAATGTCCATTTTGGGATCAGGGACCTCAACATAAATTCAGCCACACTGAAACTCCTAGAAGAAAAGGTAGGGGCACCCTGGAACTAATTGGTACAGGAGACGGCTTTCTGAACATAACATCAGTAGCACAAACATTGAGATCAACAATTGAAAAATGGGACCTCCTGAAACTGAGAAGATTCTGTAAAGCAAAGGACACAGTCAAAGGACACAAGCAAAATGCCAGTCCACAGAATGGGAAAAGATATTCACCAACTCCACATCTGACAGAGGGCTGATCACCAAAATATACAATGAAATCTAGAAGCATGCCACCAAAAATCAAACAATGCAATTAAAAATTGGAGTGCAAAACAAAATAGAGAATTCTCAACAGAGGAATCCAAAATGGCTGAAAGATATGAGAAAGTGCTCAACATCCTTAGTCATCAGAGAAATGCAACTCAAAACCACTCTGAGATACCATCTTACTCCCGTCAAAATGGCTAAAATTAATTAATAACACCAATGACAATCTATGCTGGAGGGGATGTGGAGAAAGAGAAACAAAATAGAGAATTCTCAACAGAGGAATCCAAAATGGCTGAAAGATATGAGAAAGTGCTCAACATCCTTAGTCATCAGAGAAATGCAACTCAAAACCACTCTGAGGTACCATCTTACTCCCGTCAAAATGGCTAAAATTAATTAATAACACCAATGACAATCTATGCTGGAGGGGATGTGGAGAAAGAGGAACTCTCCTCTATTACTGGTGGGAGTGCAAACTTGTACAAACACTTTGGAAATCAGTATGGCGATTTCTCAGGAAAATGGGAATCAGTTTACCTCAAGATCCAGCAATTCCTCTCTTGGGCATATACTCAAAGTATGCACAGTCATAGAATAAGGACATATGTTCAAATATGTTCATAGCAGCATTGTTTGTAGTAGCCAGAATCTGCAACCAACCCAGATGCTCCTGAATTGAAAAATGGATAGAGAAAATGTGCTACATTTACACAATGGAGTACTACCCAGAGGAAAAAAAAAAACAATGGAATCTTGAAATTCACAGGCAAATGAATGGAACTAGAAGAAACCATCCTCAGTGAAGTAACCCAATCACAAAAAGATAAACATGGTATGTACTCACGCATCTTTGATTTTTAGACATAGAGCAAAGGATTACTAGTCTACAATCCACACTACCAGAGGAGCTAGGAAACAAGGAGGACCCCAAGAGAAGATTGCATAATACCTTGATGAAGGGGATGGAGACAAGAACCCCTGACCAAAGTGGGAGCCCAGGGGCAGAGAGAGGAAAGAGAGCTTTCATCCTGTTTCTGTTCAAAGCAGAAACAGACACCCACAGCTAAGCACTGAACCACACTACTGGAATTCAGGTGTGGAGAGGGAGGAGGGATGAGCAAAGGACCCAAGATGGGGCTGGAGAGACCTGCAGAAACAGTGGACCTGACCCACTAACCCACTAATAGCATGGAGACCCTTGTCATAAAGCTGGGGAAACAGCATTGAACCAAACCAAGTCCTCTGAATGTGAGTGCCAGCTACGAGGTCAAGACAGTTTATGGGACCTCCAAAGGTGAACCTAGTCTTTATCTCTAGAGCACAATGGACATTGGGGGCCCATTCCCCATGGAAGAATACTATTGTAGCCCAGATACAGAAAGGAGGGCCTAGGCCCTCCCCTAAACGAGTTGACAGACTTTGAAGGTCCCTGGTGGGAGACCTCACTATCCCTGAGGAGGAGTTGGGGAGTGGGTTGGGGGCGGTGGGGAACATGGGAGGATGGGAGGGTGAGGGAATGGGGCGATTAATATGTTAATATGAGTAGTAGTTAAAGAAAAAAACGAAATGTCAATTTTGAAGAGGAAGTAAGTTGAACTACAATAGATATATACATTTAATAATAATATACATTTAATAATAAACTAACTTAGAAAACTTTTGGTATTCATGGGCCAGATTTTTGTGTGTATCAATGACCCTTCATTAATACACAAGTGAAAATCCAATACTGAGTGGGCTAGTGATTGAAGTTCAGATTTCCAGTTAACAAAACTAGTTTATACCTAGGAAAAAATAATGTGCTCATTCTATTTGGTTTTCTTCTTCTGTTTGGTGTATTTTAAACTGTAAAAGTTTTTTTTTATTTGTTCAAGTATTATCATTCTCCCTTTACACAACTGGTTCTTTACCATGAACTAACTTCTGATTCCCTAAGGTAAAATATAAATTAGGAGTAATTTATTTATTTGGCACTTTCAGGGAAACATTATCACACTGGATTTTGGATCTGTTGGATTATGAGGATGGGGTGACTATGGCCCCAATATATTCAGTACTTTATTTCTTTGGTCATGATTTATTAGAACCTGAAACTATTGCTCAAAAGAAAGTTCCTGAACTCCATCCAGATAGTTTGTTATTCCTATCATACACAATCTTGTAACACAAATCTATTTTTTGTCACGCTTCTAAGTTCTCTCTATAAATTCTCTTACTGACTGAATTTTAATTCATTCTATTCACTCTTTTGATCCATTTATTACCTATTTTAATTGTACCAAACAAAAACTAACAATGACTTATTTTAATAGAAAAGTTTGCTGGAAGGCTTTTAGCTAGCTCACAAAACTTTAGTGTAACAAACTCAGAGATGAATGAGAACAAAAGGAGCAACATCTACAAATTCCAGAGCAAACATTCTAAAGAACATAACAGTTCAGAATGGATTTTTTTTTCCTGGTACAACTAGTTTTGCTGCCAATGAAAACTTGATGCTGTTTCAAAGATTGCCATTGGTTAGTACTAAGGATTCCCATTGTCTTTGTTTCTTTGTGCCACTATTTCCTATTTCTAGGCTAGTTTATCTTAATGTCTGCATAGTAATCATATGGTCACATAAGACCTTTAGGGGAAGCTGGAAATGGGCTGTTTCACCCTGTATCATTGAAGGTAGGCTCTGCCTCAAAAAACATGACCTTTTACAAATATAAGACAAAGGTTGAAATAACCACCACAAAACAAAAATGAATGAATTCTAGTACTTTTTAAACTTAGTTTTATATGATTTTCCTTTTGATTCTCCTTACATTTGTAAAAATTTACAGATAATTTATGACTATGACTAAATTCCATGCAACCCAAAGTTGCATTCTGAAGACTTAAAGTGACTATAGAAGTCACTATAGGTGATTATAATTCTTTTCATCAGAAAAAAACCTGAAGTTATGCTCACTATCATTTCTGATGAATAACATTCTTCAGAGTGTGAAACGATAATTTGTTAAAGTTGAAAGATAGTCAGAATTTGTTCTCATCTTGGGATATTAACAGTTGTCTTCAAAGAATATAAAATATTGATCTTATAAATAAAATATTATTGAATCTGACTAACCTTTCCCTCCATAGTATTTTTGAACAATGGCTTCGAAGACACCGTCCTCTTCTGGAAGTTTACCCAGAAGCCAATGCACCTATTGGCCATAATAGAGAATCCTATATGGTCCCTTTCATACCACTCTACAGAAATGGTGATTTCTTCATTTCATCTAAGGATCTGGGATATGACTACAGCTACCTACAGGAGCCAGGTAAGGCTCAGCTATCTTCAGATGAACTATGGAATCTAAACCTGAAAGAGGTTATTATTGAACCTCTTTCAGGATAGTAAAAAAACATCCTGTGTGTATGCAATGTTTTTTTTCAAAACTCCTTGACAATCCATATTATACCACTATATTGTCATTTACAAACCAAATTTTAAGGATTCCTAAATTTATAACTATTCTATCTACTATAGGGAGTTTTGTACAAGTAAATTATTGAAGAGTATAGGATAAGGATGCTTTTGAGCCATAACTCTTATCAATTGGCTCTTTTATGAGCTAAGGGTATTATTTCAATTCTCAGAATCACAGTTTACTCATGTTATATATTCAGATAAGAATAATTCAATGACTATTCTGAACCATGTTAAATAATTCAGTGCATGCAGTATGATATAAGCAAGCAGTTTATGATCAACCACTGGGAGATTCTTGTTAGGATTACCATGCAGTATTGAGAACTTTTAATACTAACTAATAATAAGTTTCATAATACTTTTTAATTTTAATTACTATGCCTTTGGTTAAAACCCTTGGGACTGGGATTAGATCTGAGCTTTGATCTTGCTATGTAGAAGTATGTTAATATCTTCATGACAAAGAAGGGATAGGTAGTACTAAAAGCCTATTCCATAAAGAAACTATGTGCTATTCTAGTCTACCTGACCATTGCAATGAAAAATGACTGAGTAAGACAAACTAAGGAAATTGTGTTTCTCATGGTTCCAGAGATTTCAGACTATAATTTATAAGTTCCATTGGTTTGGGTCTAAGGAAATGTAGAAACATCATGTGAGTATGTAGTACAGAGAAAGATGAACTCATATGTAAGACATAGCCTTCAAAGGCAAGCTTTCAGTGACTTGCCTCCGCCAATAAGGCCTTACCTTCTACTTTCAAGCACCTCTGAAATATGCCCCATTATATTGGAAACTCATCATTGATTAATTAACTGATATAGCCAGAATCCCCATGATATAATCAATTCCCAAACCTTAGCTGGCAGGTAAATCTTTAAACATCAGTCTTTGGGTCATGGGGTGAATATATTGTATTTAAAGCATAAATCCATGCATTAATTATGTATTCACTTTATTATTTATTAGATATGTATTATTTTCCAGAAAAAGAGGTGGCATATCAATTGTATAGAACTCACGTGACTTCGTAAATGTTAAATAGCAATATATGAAGGGAACTAATTTTGACACTGTTTTTAGCACACCTTAATTTCACTGTAGTATATGTTGGCTAGAAGGAAAAAATATAAAACTACAAATGGTTTATGGGTGAGAGGTATTCAAGAAGCACTATTATTTTGCTAAATTTTTGAAAAGTTAAAGAAACATGAATAGATGAATAGAAAAAGAAACAATAGACAAATGTGTGAACTTAACAAACTCCTAGTTCTTAGAACCAATTTCAATTCTACTTCAATGACTAATGTATCTGGATATCAGTAAGCACTAAATCCCATGTGGAAGTCCAACAGATTGTGTAAAGAAGTACAAAGACTCAACCAACAGCAAACTCTTACAGTGTACAGATAGGGCAATAGTGATTTGTGCATTTTTCAACTTTGACACTATTTGAGGATTGGTAGGCAAGCTAAAGATAGAAAAGGACAGAAAAACAAAAATCAAAGAAAATCACTGTAATTTTGGAATACTGAATTCATCTATTCAGTGACATGAACAAAGAAAATGACATTGAGACATTTCTTAAAAGTTAACACAAATTGTGTGCTTTGTATGAGTGCAGGTTTATCAGAGTGTGTTACATGGAACAGTTCGTTCTTCACTGTATTTTGAGGGAAAAATTCAAAATGATTGTCAAATCAGATATATGCTGAGTGAATAAAAAGATTTAGGATTCTTTTCAAGTTTTTAAACTTATATCACAAATAAATTATAGCATAATTCCCTGTTGCATGTGAGAATAATAGGAGAAGGTCCAGGAACAAGGGGGAGACTCTGGTTTTGTTATGCTGTAGAGTGATGAGATAGGAGACATCAGGGTAAATATTTCTCAGTGCAGTAGGATACACAGGCTTGATGCTCCAAGCAGATAATTGGCCCTTAAACCTATATGAGAGAACCATCAACATGTCTACTATTATATTGAATAATCTGTAAAATTCCAGTTTCTAGTTGTGTATATTAAGTCTTATAAGATGACAAGTTGAGTCACATAAAGATAAACACTATCTGTAAATTACGAAGCTAGTAATCAGCAAATATTAATTATCTATACTAAATATCTATAGAATGATACTCCTATTCTTCCATGGTAGTTTCTTTTGGTTGTTACATTGCCTTCCAGACATTCACCCGACTCATCATCCCCCCCTCATGTACACATGGTTAAGGCAATGGTAACAAACATTCTTGAGTGGTAAAATAGAGGAGGTGGAATACATTTATTCTAAATACTTTAAAATAAACAAAATTAATTTCAAATACTTTATTTATTTACTATGCTTTCATACAGCTGTGAATTACTTACATAGCTAACTTTTTAGAGAAATTTGATTTTAAATAAGTCACTGAAATAGCCTACTTTCTATCTTATGAATCATTATTATTGTTTCTTTTGTGCATTCATAGTACTTAACGTTTATTGCTATTCATTGCTAAGCTTTAAGATTTCTAAAATAAAATTTAAAATCCTTTTAAATGATTTAGTTCGAGAGGGTCATTATTCATCATTCAGGTATTCATGGTGATAACTACTTAAGTATTTTTTTTTTTGGTTAAGGGCTGTTAATGTCTGAATTTGTCAAATATTTCCTCTTACATTCAACTTTACTGGTGTTTTAAAAACTGTGTGGCAAGTGATTTTCCTTCAGAAGTAACTGTTTAAAGGACAGACCAGAAATTTATCAAAGAAAGAGTATTCTTGTTTAGGATTCCATAGTCTTGACATCCATAATGGTAGGAAATGCATAGCAGTAGATGTATGGAGCAATAAGCTGACAGACTGTATAACTACATACAGAAAATAAGCAAACAAGAACTGAAAATGGGGTGAGGCTATAAACAATCAAAGTGTGCCCTGGATGAAGTATTTATTCCAGCATGGATCACATTACAAACATTTCTTAACATCTTTCAAACAGTGCACCAACTAGAGTCAAGGTGCTCAAATACTTGAACCTACTGGGGACAGTTTTCATTTAAACTACCACAACATTGTAAATAAGTTATTTATTATCTACACAAATGCATCTTATTTCAATATTTTTGTTCAGATTCCTTCTAGTGAACTCAGTGTTCATGATCACCAAAGCATTGTCTTCAAACACACTTTCAAAGATACACACACACACACACACACACACACACACACACACACA